TATGGCCGGAAGTGCCTGTGACGACGGAAGATGTGAGGATCGAAGATATTCAACTATGCGGATCTGATAATCAGACTCCAGAGGAAATTGATCGACTTCGCCAAAGGATCTGGAAGTTCCGACATCTCTTGATCAGTAAGGGAAATGCCCTTCCACCGGCGGCCAGAGGTGTGGTGTGCGATATCGATGTCGGGGGAAGCGAGACCTATCGCCCTCAAGTGTCGTAAATTGTGGATCCAGTTGAGAGAGAAGCTGGCAGACTTGATCAAGGGTCTATTGTCCGCCAAGATGATCAACTACCCTAGATCGCCATGGGCTTCCCCGATCGTGGAGATCATTAAGAAGAATAGGATGGATATCAGGCTATGCATTGATTATCGGTTGGTTAATAGCCTAACACAACGGATGGTATACCCAATGCCCTTGATCAACGATCTACTCGAAGATCTGGAGTCGACACTTTGGTACTGTTCTTTGGAGATGGAATGCGGATTTTGGGTGGTGAAAATGACGGATCGTACCCGCTTGATCTCAGCTTTTTCACGCCGTTCGGGTTATTTGAATGGAATCGAATGCCTTTTGGCTTGGAGAATGCTCCCCAGATCTATCAACGTATGATCGACAACGCGTTATATGGATTCACTCGGATCCCGAAGTCCGAAGATCACGGAGGTACTCTGGATGTGTTTGAAGACAGGGAACCGGTGGATCCAGGCAAGCCATCAGTGCTTGGGCGTAGATCATATATCGATGATATCCTGATACCGGCCAATAACTGGGATCAACTATGTGACCGAGTCGAAAATCTACTCAAAGCGTGTGATGAGTGGAATTTGTCGATCAGTGTGGTTAAGAGCTTTTGGGGAATGCCTAAGGTGGAATATCTCGGGCATAGGGTCTCGCACAATAGCCTGGAGTCGAAGCCGAAAGATCTGTCTGCATGGACTGATCTAGCCTTTCCAGGATCACTCAGAGCTATGCAATCATTTTTGAGAAGTCTGAACTATTATAGCCGATTTATTGAAGACTACGTGATCTACGCGTCGGTTCTGTACGAATTGCGAGAAATCGACTTTGCTGCGATGACGAAAGAGGCTACTCAAGCGCGGATCCAACAAGTACTGGAAGTGGAGGACATAGATCAAGGATCGCAGAAAGATCGGGGTGTCGACCACCGAAGGACCTTGGATCTGGAAGCGCCCGACCCTACAGAGGTGGATCCGCGTTGGATCCATGCCCACCGGTTCTTCAACGTGCTTAAAACTAGGATTGCTACAACTCCGATCTTACCACACTTTGACCCAAATCGGAAGGCCACCGTGGTGGTGTATGCTAGTTATTGGGCCATCTCGGGATCATTGCAAGAATACGACCAGATCTACTATCCCGTGACGTTTGCAAACCGTACTCTGAAGTCGAATGAGCTAAACTACGGCATCGCGGAGAAGTAGGTACTAGCCCTTCTGACGATCCTAGATCTTAATACGCTTCTTGGCAACGTAGATACGTACACAAGTATTCCGGTCCCATCCTAAAACCTATCAATCTCAAATCCTAATTCTATCCTGA